AATATATTTATATATATAAAACATATATCAAAAAGATTAATATTTATGTGTATGTACGTATGCACCTATAGTTAGGTCTTTCCCTAGATCCTGCATCTCTGATTCAATCCAGACAACAGCCTGGGCTCTGTGGCTTTTTATAAAAAGTTATTTTTATGGATATATGGTAGGTGTAAATATTTATGGAGTACATGAGATATTTTGATAGTGGTATGTAATGTGTAATTATCACATCGGGGTTAATACGGTATACATTATCTCAAGCATTTGTCCTTTTTTGTGTTATGATCAATTTAGTTATATTCTTTTAGCGTTTTAAAATGTACAATAAATGACTGTCAACTGTAATCACCCTATTGTGCTATAAAATACTAGGTTTATTGATTGATTGATTGATGTTTAATTTTTTCAGAGACAGGGTCCTGCTCTGTTGCTCAGGCTAGAGTGCAGTGGCATGAATATAGATTATTGCAGCCCCTAACTCCTGAGCTCAAAAAATCATCCCACCCCAGCTTCCTGAGTAGCTGGGACTACAGGCACGGTCACCACTCCTGGCTAATTTTTAAATTTTCTTTTGTAGAGATGGGTCTTGCTATGTTGCCTAGGCTGGTATCAAACTCCTGACCTCAATCGATCCTTCCTCCTTGAGCTTCAAAGCGCGGGGATCACAAGTGTGAGCCACCATGCTCAACCTTTAAATAGAAGATCTCATTCATTCTCTCTAACTGTATTTTTGTCCCATTGACCATCCACTCTTTATCCCCAGCTACCCTTCTCAGCCTCTGGTAGGCATCATTCTACTCTCTATCTCAGTAAGTTCAATTGTTTTAATTTTTAGTTCCCACAACTGGATGAGAACATATGAACTTTGTCTTTTAGTGCTTGGCTTATTTCACTTAACATATTGACCTCCAGTTCCATCCATGTTGTTGCAGATGACAGGACCTCATTCTGTTATTACAGCCGAGTAGTACTCCACTGTGTGTATGTACCACATTTTCTTGTGTGTTGATGGAAACTTAAGTTGCTTCCTCTGTTGTTTCTTAAGGAAAGGCATAATTCAAAATATTTTGGAGGTTGAATCAATACTGAAGCCTGGGAGGCAAATTACACATTGAATAAAATACAATTTATTAAATATTTCTGACAAAGGCTGATACTATAAAGTGTACCATAGACATGGATGAATTTATTTCAATGAATAGGTAAAATTATCTGAAGAAGAGAAACCCCAGGGTGAGATTTAGAGCATTATATTTAGATAATAATATTACATTTTTTATTTGCATTAATACTGATGAAACCCTCAGTAAGAGGCATTCGTCAGAATCCCTGTAGTACCCTTGAGCAGTCTGAGACATTCCATTACCTGGAATATGACAGTCAAGTGAGAAGTTGGAACAGCCTATCCTTTTCTGAGAGAACAAAGGTGTGAGGGAGAATGCTCAGAACATTTGGTTCAATCTCAGCAACACTGAAACTGTTCTGCTGTTTACTCTTTTATTTGTTCCCTCAGGAGAGGCCACCTTTAAACAAATCTTACAGAGAAGAAGTGTGTTTTCCTTCACTTCAGGGATCCTAAACGAGAGAAGGTGTGGGACCAGAACTGGACCACAGAGGCTCCAACAAGCCGCCTCTCCCTCTCCACACCCCACTCGGTCCTAAGACTCCGGAGGCACACATCAGACTCCCAAAGTCAGGAAGTGGGGGATGTGAGGTAGTTTGACAATTCTCCCTTGGTAATTCTAATACGCCTTCTTTCACCTTCCATTTCTCACTCCCTACTCCCTCCTGAAAAGTAATTAAGAACATAACTCAGCCGGGCGCGGTGGTTCAAGCCTGTAATCCCAGCACTGTGGGAGGCCGAGGCAGGTGGATCACGAGGTCAAGAGATCGAGACCATCCTGGTCAACATGGTGAAACTCCCTCTCTACTAAAAATACAAAAAATTAGCTGGGCATGGTGGCGCGTGCCTGTAATCCCAGCTACTCAGGAGGCTGAGGCAGGAGAATTGCCTGAACCCAGGAGACGGAGGTTGCGGTGAGCCGAGATCGTGCCATTGCACTCCAGCCTGGGTAACATGAGTGAAACTCCGTCTCAAAAGAAAAAAAATAAAAAAAAAAAAAATAAATAAATAAAAAAACATAACTCTTCTATGCTGAAAAAGGTATGCAGTTAAAATCTTTAGGAATTTATGTTGGGAAAAGGTGCTGGGCTGGAAAATGTAGCCTTATGCATATCTGAATATATATGTCATAGATTTTCAGTAGACCTAAGAGCTGTTTTAAAAACGGGTTATGTTCCTTTAGGAGTACATCCAGACGATGGGCAAGTGCATGTGTTTTTGGTTGTCCCGGGAGACCTAAGGGTGTGCTTCCACTGCAGCCGCTTTAGTTTCACTGAAGTAGTGCAGAGCTGAATGACTTAGATTCCAAACATACCGGTTTGTTCAGCTAAGTGAGACATATTAGCAATTAATGGATACGTTTGCATTTATAGACAGTCTAGTAGATTTTGATGCCATCTGGAATTATGCTTACATTTTTTTTTCATTCTGTTTATTGTAATTGATAAGATACTGCCTTATACACAGTCCTTTCTGGCACTAAGTGTCGTTGCTTTTAATATGCAAATCTAAGATACTTTCGTGTTATCACATATACTTCTTAATGCAAAGAAACTGATTTCTGGTACGTTTTGTATGTTCCCAAATGAACAAATGACATTTAGACTTCTGGCTGCTGTCCTTTACTTTCCTATTTGTGAAAGAAGTTACTTTAACAATTCCTTTTTTTTTTTTTTTCCAATAGAGATGGGGTTTCTCCATGTTGGTCCAGCTGGTCCTAAACTCCCGACCTCAGGTAATCTGCCTGCCTCAGCCTTCCAAAGTGCTGGGATTACAGGCGTGAGCCACCCATGCCCGGCCAACAATTTCTTAATGCTACCGCTACAAGTTAATGTCAAGAACCTCTATCTGCACACTCTTCTTAAATTCCTTGATCATTAGTTGCATTGAATAATATCTCTTGCCATAATCACTCTTTCCCAGTTATTAAGAATATCTAAAATACAGGACAAACTTTTACCACAAACTGGGATGAAGAAGGTCAATTAGCCCAAAGATCTCAGGGTGTGTTTATCAAACATTAAGCATGCAGGCTGTCAGAACTCTTAAATAATCTGTGACTGTCAAATTAATGTAACCAAGCACAGCCTATTATTCTCCCACAGGACCACATTCAAAACTGTGGAATGATGCATCATATTTCAAGTCTCATAGCTTCCCTATTGCCTTCACTTCCATCCTCCTCAAGGTCCCTACTGGAAGCATCTCTGTCATTGGTTTCTCTCCTGAAGCTTGTTTTCATGTGCTGCTGACACTAAACTTTAGGCCAGGCAAAGGACTTCCTCTGAACCATTCCAGCAGAACTGCCGTTGTTCTATGACCCTATTGGAAAGCCATATAGAGACTATTAGCTGCCTTCCACCTTCCTTGTTCTGTACCTTTAAACATATGACAACCCAATACCCCTACCCCTACAATCTCCTTTTCCATTTCCTTAGATAAATTTCTGAGATGGTCCTTGAGAATTTATCGGTAGTATATTTTTACACCTTAGTCCATTATATACTGAGGTGGTTTTGTTTATGGTGTTTTAAATTGAACATGGTAAATATAATGTCTAAGGATGATGAAGAAAATGGGAGAAAGTGGCTTAATCTGTAGACTGAGGAATGTAGAGATTTCATTTTATACAGCAAAATAAGGAAAATTTCTAAGGAAAAGTAATTTAGAAAATAGGATAGAAAGTCTAAATTAATATCATGGTGTAACAAAAAGTTTAGATTTCGATAAAAGTCATCCCAACATCACATCCTTTAGAATGTGACACACAGAATCTTTTGGAGAAAGGTCAGTTCAAATTTGCACAGAGCTTAAGACCCCAAGTACTTTTTATTTTGATGTTCGACATTGTTAGAATATCTTTCAACACTGAAATAGCCTTCATGTTTGAGTTTTAACTGGTGACAGCCTCTTCTGGGGCAGGGTTGGCTCTGGGCATTCTATATGTCTGACTCAGCCACTATAGCATTGTGTACATGCCTTGGGATTAATGACTAAGACTTTAAATATGAAATAAAAAGCTATAACATTGGGGGGCCACAGCAACAGTGACTTGGGACAAACATAGCTGAGGCTAACCCTGGGAGCTGAGACTTTGCTTTTCCCTGTACACTCTGAAAAGCTACCATCTGATCAGAAGAGATATCACTGCTGCAGTGAATAAGGTCAGAATCTAATCTCCTGTTTCACAGCAGCACCATAGGGCAGTGACACCACCTTCTGCAAGAAGAGAAACTCTGAACCAATTACAACAATATCATTTCTGTGTCGAAACATAAGTCATTGGAAACCCACTGCAACCATGCTTCTGTAATAGCAGCTGGAACCTCCAATTCTAGAAAGAAAAGGTAATAATTCCTCTTATAATAAAACCTCAAAAATTAATTTCTTATTAGAAAAACTATCATTTATGCTAATACCACAAGGATAAAATTTCCTAAATGATAAGTCAAATGGAAAGATAATTGTTATCTGCAAATATAATTTTTTTGTACCTGTTCACATGATCATATATATATATAATTTTTTTTTTTTTTGAGATCGAGTCTCACTTTGTTGCCCAGGCTGGAGTGCAGTGGTGTGATCTCAGCTCACTGCAGCCTCTGCCTCCCAGGTACAAGCAATTATCCCGTCTCAGCCTCCCAAGTAGCTGGGACTACAGGCAGATGCCACCATGCCTCGCTAAATTTTGCATTTTTTGGCAGAGACAGGGTTTCATCACATTGACCAGTCTGGTCTCAAACTCCTGGCCTCAAGTGATCAGCCTGCTTTGGCCTCCCAAAATACTTGTATTACAGGCGTGAGCTACCATGCTTGGCCTCATGAACATGTTAATTTGTAGACAACATGTAAAAATCAAATCATAAATCAACTTCTTTATGTGGAGAAAAAATGCTAAGAGTAGTAATTTTTTTCACTGGGTGGAAGGACAGACAAGATAACTTCTAAGGCATTGCTAATTAAGTAATCTAAACATTAGGCCTGAAATTTATTGATTTCTATATCTATATGCATTAGTCTCTGAGAAGGCTTGCCCAAAATGGGAGACTCCCTTGATTTGGGACTTTTCACTTGGCTACAAGATAGATTGTAACATCAAGCATCACCACCGCCTGGCCAAGTACTAGCTATAAAAAATCTCATAGAGCTTTCTAATTAGGGGTTCTATAAATGCTCAAGTGATTGATATGCAGCAGCTATCTGTACTGGGAGTTGCATGGGATGGTTCTTGGTTTGTTGGTCCAGGCCCCAATGTTTGTTTAGATTCAGTAGCATCAATATAACTTGCCAACATAAAGTGTTTCCAACTATGTACCATGCTCCTTCCCACATACACACTGTCTAGCTTGAGGCTGCTGAGCAGGCGTGTGTGTCAAATATTGATGCCAATTCACACAAACTTTGCAAAAGAACCACTTTTTCATTGCCCTTTAAGGAATGTTGAAGTAACATATATGTAGCTTTGAGGAGGAGGCAGGCACATTCAAGGTCATGAAGAGGATTGACAGCCACAGATAGGTACTCATGAGAACGAGATGTAAATCATCAAGCAGGATATACTCAGGAGGCACTGTCTAGCATAGATAAGCATTGCGATTGTTATTTAATATGGAAAAAATATAAGAACAAAGCCTGATAGATATAATCTTAACCAAGTGATCAGAGTTAAAATCACCAGAGATAAATCACATTAATATCATCTGTCCTCTGACATGATACAATGAAAAAAATGCTTCACCTTGTGGATTTCTTTGTAAAATACTCAACCTCAGTGTAATCATAAGAAAATGTGAGGCAAATGCAAAATGAAGGCCACTCTACAAAATGCCCAACGAGAACTCTGGAAACCTCACTGTCACACACTGTGACTTTAACAGAGAAGTATTGTTCCTAAGGGTGAATGAGCACATTCGAAACATGGTGAGGAAGGAATGAAGATGGCAGATTCTTTTAGTAAAGGAATGAATAAATTGTTAGAATTATTAAAAATCATAACAAAATTATCACCAATCTTTGTAACACTACATAAGAAGAATTCTGAGTCATGAAAATGACTGTTCTCAAAATATATTCTCCTAATATACCACTGCCATCCTTCGAAAATGAAGCCCAAAGGATCATGAAGCCAAACACTGTGATTTTAAAACAAAATTCTTCAAAAAAACTTTAGAGAAGTCACTAAATATTCCAGGTAGACTCTTAAAGGAACTGACCAAGTATGATGGTAGAAACCATGTTTATGCTCAGTGAACTTTGTGGATTCTCTAAGCTGTTTTTTTTTCTGAAAATGTTATGTTATGACATCATGTAAAATATGTGTAACAAAAACACTGACGGCAAAGAATCAAAACAATTTGGACAGATAACATCTTTGAGACAAGCTGGTATTACTTGTGTTTGAGAATTACAGAGGGAAGGAAGAAGAGATGGGTCACTGGTGTCTTCCTACAACTTCATAAATCTGCTGATAGTTGCCAAATTTGGAAAGTCGTGTGAAAAGAGATGGGCAGAGTAAGAAAGATCAGAGGACATCTTTGACAGTCACTTCTGGTAAGAGCTTTGGAAAATCTGCTCATTTGAATTCTAGACAATGTGATACAGAAGGTTTTGTGCCTGGCAATTTTATCTGAAATCAAGAAGGAAAAGAAGCCCCTACTAAATCTTTGACAAATTGTCCTATGTCAGTGTGCTCACAAATTGCGGAAGAGATTTCTTTCACCAGCTGTGGAAATGTAATATATGATAGACCACATATTAGTTTAAAGTTACAACTCAGTCACTTGAGAGACTCTTTGGAATGTTTATGCACTATGCCTATTTCTTTTCTATTTTTATGATTGGCTGGATGACTCATTTTTAGGCTACTGTCTAAGCTAGACTAAAGGTGAGCTGTTCACTAGATGAGTTGCAGCACTGGAGAGAACTGCATGTGAATCTTGGCAGTAATTTGCTAGCTGAGGAATCATGGGCAAGTCAGTTAGCTTCTCTAGGCCTCAGCTATCAGAGTAAGACAAGAATGGGTTGAGTGTTGTATGTAAGACAAACAGATATCAAGAATGATGCCAGGCTTTTGACTTGAGCAACTGGAAGGATGAAGTTGCCATTCATAGAGAAAATAGTTTGAGGCTGGGAATCAATATTTGGGGTGGGCGCTCAGTGTTGGATATATTAGATGTAAGATGTCCTTTAGACATCTAAATGAAGAGGTTGAGTAGGCAGTTGGATAAGTCTAGAAAGGGGTTGGGAGGGAGATAAATATTTGGGAGTTGAAAGCATATGGATAGTAATCAAAGTCATCACTAATATCAATAGATGCCAAAAAAGCACTAGACACAATCTAACACCCTTTCATGACAAAAACTCTCAGTTAAATTAGAAATAGAGGGAAACTTACTTAATTTGATACATAAAGAATATTTACAAAAAACTCTACAACTAAAGTAATACTTAACAGTGAGAAACTAAAAGACTCTCCACTAAGCTCAAGAACTAGACAAGGATGTACCTTCTTAATACTCCTTTTCAGCATCATACCAGAAATCCTAACCAATGAAATTAGACAAGAAAAGGGAATAAAAGTATACTTGCTGGGAAGGATGAAATAAAACTTATTTGAAGATGATATGATTGTCTATGAAGAAAATTCAAAAGAATCAACAAAAAACCTCCTGGAACTAACAAGGAATTATAGCAAGGTTGTGGAATACAATGTTAATATAAAAGTCATTTGCTTTTCTACATACCAGCAATTAATAAGTGGAGGTGGAAATAAAAATGCAATATCGTATATTATAGCATCTTAAAAAAAAGAAATACGTAGGTACATATCTGAATCCCCAAAAATGCACAAACTCTATGTGAGGAAAACTAAAAATATGATGAAAAAATAAAAGAGGAACTAAATAAATAGAACATCATTCCATGTTCTCTGATAGGAAGACTTAATACCATCAGCATGTCAGTTCTTTCTAACTTTCATGTATAGATTAAGTTCACTCTCAATCATAATCCCAGCAAATTATTCTAAAGTTTATTTACAGAGGCAATAGACCCGGAATACCAGCACAATATTGAGAAAGAAGAAGAAAGTTGGAAGTCTGACACTACCTGACTTCAAGATTTACTATAAGACTACAATAATCAAGACAGTGTGATAGTGACAAAAGAATAGACAAATAGATCAATGCGGCAGAATGGAGACCCCAGAAATAGACTTATGTAAATAGAGTCAACTGATCTTTGCACAAGAGCAAAGGCAATAAAATAGAGCAAAGATAGTCTTTTCAACAAATGGTGCTGAAACAACTGGACAGCCACATTAAACAAATAAGTCTGGACACAGACCTTACACAAAAATGAAGTCAAATGGATTACAGACCTAAATGTAAAATGCAAAACTATAAACTCCTAGAAGATAATGTAGGAGAAAATCTAGATGACCTTGGATATGGTGATGACTTCTTGTCTATAACACCAAAGACATGATCCATGAAAGAAAGAATTAATAAAGCCGAAAATCATTAAAATGAAAAATCTCTTCTCTGTGGAAGATAATATCGAGGGAATAAAAAGATAAGCCACAGATTGGGAGAAAGTCTTTGCAAAAGACATATCTGATAAACGACTGTTATCCAAAACACAGAGAACCCTTAAAACTCAACAACAACAACAACAACAACAACAAACCCAATTAACAAATGGTTCAAAGACCTTAACAGATACGTCACCAAAGAAAATATACAGATGGCAAGTAAACTTGTGACAAGATGCTCCACATCATATGTCATCAGGGGAATTCAAATTAGAACAACAGTGAGATACCATTACGCACCTATTAGAGTGGCGGACATCCAGAACACTGACAACACCAAATGCTGGAGAGGATGTGGAGAAACAGGAACTCTTATTCATTGCTGGTGGGAATGCAAAATGGTAAAGTCACTTTGGAGAAGGGTTTTCGATTACAAATTTGACGGTTTCCTACAAAACTAAACATCCTCTTACCATAAAATCCATAATCATGCTCCTTGGTATTTACCCAAAAAAGCTGAAAACTTATGTCCACACCAAAACCTGCTCATTAGTGTTTATAGTACCTTTTTTCATAATTGCCAAAACTTGGAAGCAACCAAGATGTCCTTCAGTAAGTGAATGAATAAATAAGCTGTGGTATATCCAGACAATGGAATATTATTCAGTGCTAAAATGAAAAGAACTGTCAAGCCATGAAAAGACATGGAGAACACTTAAATTCATACTACTAAGTGAAGGAAGCCAATCTGAAAAGGCTACACACTGTGTAATTCCAACTATACTATGACATTCTGGAAAAGGCAAATATATGGAGACAGTGAAAAGATCAATGGTTGCAAAGGGTTGGGGGTGAGGCAGGAAAGATTAGGCAGAGCACAGAGGATTCTTCGGGCAGTGAAGATTCTCCATATGAAGTTGTAAAGGTAGATACATGTGTCTAAACTCAGAATGTGTAACACCAAGAATAAACTAATGTTAGCTGTGGACTCTGAGTGATAATGATATGTCAGTGCAGGTTCATCACTTGTAACAAACGGTGGAGGAGGCTGTGCATGAGTGGAGGCAGGGTGTTATGGGGAATCTTTGTACCTTCTACTCAATTTTGCTGTGCATCTAAAACTCCAAAAGAGGAAGTCTATTGAAAGAAAAGAAAGACTATTGGCTCTCTGACTACAGCTGTAAGACGAATTCAGTGTCATTTGCTGAAGGCTCTAGTGGTGTCCGGCAGTGTCCCATAAATGGCCAGTTCATAAAATTAAACTGATGATTAGGACAACCATTTTGAAAATATTGTTAAAGCTTCCAGTGGAGAAGTTTTTCTATAAAGACTTTTGCTGCAGTGTGGAGGCTCATTTATCTTGCTCAAAAGAAGGTGCTTGAGAGAGGCTTATCTTACAAACTGAATCGGTTTAAAATGTTAACATTCTGTGAAGAAATAACTGCATATTTCTCCTTAAAACTTGTTCTACTATATGTAAATTATTGCTTTAAATTGTGCAGAGTGAAGTGGGACTTGTTTTTTAAGAAAAGAGAGTCATTAATACTAGTCCAGAATGTTACTACGAATCTCAGTGTTACAGTAAAACATAATCATTAGCATTCAGCACAAACTTGCTTTCAAAATAGTTTCCGATTTCAAAATAAAAGGGAGAAGAGAAAGCTGAAGCTTTGTCACCAGGGGGCCCTTCCAGCTCACTTAGGTTTTATTCTTTTTCTCTTTTGAGAACATGAGAAGAAAAGACTTAAGTACCATTCAGGACACAACCTTTGGGGCCAAAAGGGTTTTCTATTTCAAGTCTATATTCCAGATCTATATTGAAATTCAAGTGGGCTCAGAAAGCCAATGTTTGTTTTCTAAAAAGGCAGACAAAACGGTTCCTGGTGGCCTGCCCAGCCTTCAGATTCTGGTGTCAGCCCCACAGCAGAGCAGCCCCAAGTCTCCAGGGTACTGCAAACGCCAGACCAAGCCCCACTTAGCTGCACAGGTGTTGAAGAGGTTTGCTGCAGTATGCATTGCCACAGCCAGGACAAAGGAAGCAGGGAGAAAATGGTAACTATGCAGAGATTTCCAAGCAATTGAAAATAAGAAAAATGTATATAAACTTTGCTTCTTAAGTTCAGTGGTACCTAGTGTTGATATAGGAGTTAAGAAGAAATCACTTAGGCAGATAGAAAGGGTATAGGAGTCCTCGGTAAGGCTTTTCTTTTTAATGAAAAGCAGCCCCAAATAATTTTCTGACAAAGAGCAGCCTGTAAAGTCGAGCTGCAGCCATAGACAAGCAAGCTGGGGGCTTTCACAGGTGAATGCTGGCAGAAACTAAGGGCTAGACATGTTCAAGATGACTGTTCCCTCTTCCCTTCTCTTTATAGTATATCGTATATATATACTATATACTTTATAGTATATAGTAAGGTGTATAGTAAGAAGCAGACAAGATGGCGCAGATCAACTGGAAAGCCCATTTGCATAATAAGATTAGGGTGAGGTGACCAGCCTTTCCTGTGCTGTGTTAACGTCATACCTGATCAAACCAATCTGTGAGCCCTATGTAAATCAGACAGCGCCTCCTCAAACCGGACTATAAAATTTGGGCACATCCACCACCTGCTGGTCCTTTCCGCTTGGAGACCCCTCTTCTCTATAGAGAGAGCTGTTTCTCTTTCTCTTCTACCTATTAAACCTCTGCTCCTAAACTCTTTGTGTGTGTCCATGTCCTACATTTTACTGGCACATGATGATGAACCCCAGGGTATATACCCAGACAGCATAGCTGCTTTCCTCTTAAGATGATTTTTATTGTTACATAAATTATGTAACCCATAAGATGCATGTAGCATTATGATCACTATTTTATTTATGTAAAAACCAAGGCCCAGATTAATTTTGCAAAGATCTGGCTGCTGTAGGATTTAAACATATGGTATTTCTTACTGAGGTATAACTAAAATACAGTAAAAATTTCAAATCTTAAGTATATAGCCCTGAAACTTTTTAGAAATATAACTTTCTAATTTTGTAACCATGAGTAAAATCATTACCTTAAAAGCAATAAAAACTGGGTTCTTTAGCCAAAGATAGAGCACTCACAGTGAAAAAGATAATAATATTTTCATCATTTACCTAAGAACAATTATTTTTTGAGCATAATTTCCATTGCCTTATGCATTCACAGAATGTATGCAGTAAACATTGCAAGCCAGATTAATAGCATGGATGAAGAAACTGACCAGGTGTGAAACTCTCTTTGTTCTTATCTCCCTATTAAAGATATTCATTGAGCTCCTTTTTCAGATCAAGTTCTTTTTTTTTAAGTCAAAGGATTTTGAGACAGCCAAGTTGGTGGATATGAGTGGTTCCTAAATAGTGCTTCATATTAATGTGACTAAAGATCTGAACATACTGAACTTTAAACAACAGAGGAAGAAACAGAACTAATTTGTTCAAAGAAATGCAGGTATTCAGGCTGACACTCAGTATGTGGATTGACTAGAGCTACTAGAAAGCTGAATTTTCTTCCATCACTTGAATGTTATACCTCATTCAAGTAGAACATTGATTTTAGAAAATTTCAACAGTTTCCGCTAAAAACAAAGCCACAGTTTCAAAGATGATTCAAAGTTTTTGAGTGTCAATTATCTTCAATTTTTTGCAAGTATATTTCTTGAGCTAGAAGCTGTGTGAATTATCAGGTACCCATCTTTGAAGGAAGAAAGGAAAATCTTTAAATTCCTAGAATTTTACTTTTTGAAATGAGTATATTAATCCTAGGAATATCCTTATGTTTTTGGAACATTTAAGCAGACTGTAGACCTAAGTCCATGGCTTATATGTTCTCTTGCATGAAATTGATGAAATCAAAGTAAAAGCTAATATGACTTATAAAAAAAACCTTGAGTCACAAATGAGATATTCTCTAATAGAATTCATTTCTATGTACCTGCCACCAGGCCTCAAAAGTATTTGCCTGTTAATATTTTGGTTAAACATTTTTTTTTTTTTGTAACGTGACACAGTCTTGCTCTGCTACCCAAGATGGAATGCAGTGATGCAATCCTAGCTAACATAACTTCAAACTCCTGGGCTCAAGGGATCCTCCACGTCAGCCTCCCAAATAGCTAGGACTACAGGTATGTGCTGCTAAGCCTGGCTCATTTTTTTTTTTCTTTTTTTGAGACAAGGTCTCACTAATGTTGCCTAGGCTGGTCTTGCAGTCCTGGCCTCAAGCAATCCTCCTACGTCAGCCTCAGGAAGCAGTGAGGTTGCAAGCATGAGCCACTGCACCTGGCCTAATATTTTCAATAAGCTTTATCAAAGTTAAACTATGAACAATATTGGTCTTATACTATAAACTTTTGTATGCATAAATTCAATTAAACTTTTTGAACCACTCTGAATTGTTTATAAAATTCTATTATCAAGTCCATGAAAACATCCGAAAGGCTTTGCTGACAAAGGATTTTTGGTTGGGTAGCTCACTGTGAAAGACATTTGTCTGTCTTCAGTGAGAAACTGTTTTTCCTTGGATAAGTTGCTTTATACATTCAATACAATTTAAGTCATCAAACATTATACTGTTCTTTGTCCTCAAGAACTAGTATATGTAGTTCTAATTAAGAAACGCCATTGAAGAGCTTCTAGGAAGTTTCTACATTTGAGCAATCTTGAAACAAGAATACCTACATTTAAGTGAAACATGAGTTATAAGCCCTGAGTTGGGGAAAGCATCCTGTAACCTGTAACTTGAAGATGAATTTTGAGTAGTAAAAGGGATGTGTAAAATTGGAACAAAGCAGGATCAGGAACTTGAGGAAAGAATCATTCATTTAAGCAGCTGTAGCTAGTGATCAAAGAAACAAAATTGTCTAAAAGAACAAAAAATAACGCATGCTCAATCTCAAGCTAACTATCAGCATAAATGAGTTTGCAGATAAATCCCAGATTTTCAGTCTATGTGAACACAACGGAATAACTGCTTCTAAAAGGAATCATGTATTTATTTTTCACACTTAAAGACCCACAAGCCAATGAATATCATATTACTAATGTAAAATAAAATTTCTCCAAATGCATTTTTGAGGATATTTTTGTTTATATCCTTTTAGTTTTTAAAGGCAATTTTATATGAATCTTGGGATGACTAAATTGTTTGCTATTGAATCTTTCTATAAATTTATCCCTTTTCCGCAAATGGTTTTTCTAAATGTCATAACCCTACATTAATTTATTCTGTAAATGTTTACTGAGCACTTACTAAAAGCCAAGACCTATGTGTTAGGATTAGAGTGATAAATCATATACATTTTATTCTTTTTTTTAATTGCATTTTAGGTTTGGGGGTACATGTGAAGAACATGCAAGATTGTTGCATAGGTACACACACGGCAGTGTGATGTGCTGCCTTCCTCCCCATCACCTATATCTGGCATTTCTCCCCATGCTATCTCTCCTCAACTCCCCACCCCCCACTGTCCCTCCCCTATTTCCCCCCTACAGACCCCAGTGTGTGATGCTCCCCTCCCTGTGTCCATGTGTTCTCATTGTTCAACATCCACCTATGAGTGAGAACACATGGTGTTTGATTTTTCTGTTCTTGCTGATATCCAGAATCTACAAAGAACTAAAACAAATTTACAAGAAAAAAACAAGCCCATTCAAAAGTGGGCATTTTACTCTTATAGTTGTAGAATTTGGTTTGGTGTGGTTGTGTTTAACTTGTGCTCTGAGAAATGCTGACGGTTTTAGGAAATCCCTCAAGAGACAATTGGTAGAGGTAAGTGAGATGGGAAGTGATGGGCTGGGAGTTCCTATTCTGTCTCTTCTACAAACTTCATTCAGTTGCACATTTTCTTTTATCCATTAGCTACTTAGGAAGATTTCAGTTGCATAAAAGATCCTGATGCCAAACCAGTGTGAAATCCACAATCTAGTTAGTCTAACTATTCCCAATAAGTTCTACCTTCCCCAGTCGCTTTCATTTTTCACTTATTTATTCAATAAACACTCCACATTAGGGATTGTGTTGAATGTTACCATGGATTATAAGACATTGTCATTGCATTCTTGAAGTTTAAAAATCAAACAGTATTTTATCTGCTTTCAACTACCATACAATAAGGGGTACTGGGGTGACCCCTGCCAGGTTACAGCTATTCTGTGAAACCACTTCCAAAATTCCTGTGCTACTGAATTAAAGAGCATACTCCTGGGCCAGTGGAGAGACTTTCGGGGACAGTAGTTGCTGTGCACACGTGAGAACTATGGAGTATTTCCTACCTTGCCAGTCAATGGTACTCATCTTTTGTCATGTAGTACCATCTATTCATGCATAATACATGCCAGGGATTTACTGAGATTTTGGCCCTCAAGATGAAGTAGAACTAAAATCAGTTTCCAGGGATGAGCAATTCCTTCTGTATTAGTCCTAACTCCATTTCCCATGGTTGGTTGCAGCAGGTCATTGTGTTAGGACGGCCAGGCTGAAGTCTGCAGCTCTGCCATCTCACAGAGCGCCTTATTTACTGTCCTTAGGTTTGGGTACATGTTTGCAGGACTGACCTGAATAGGAACAGAGGTCTTTGCCACACAGATTTTTGCGCTGTTTATTAAGGTTCGTGAGTCAGCACCTAATTGGCGATTGCCCTTTATGTCATGCCTGATGGGGGAGAGGGATAAAGTTCCTTTATTGGCCGGGTGCGGTAGCTCATGCCTGTAATCCCAGCACTTTGTGAGGCTGAGGTGGGCGGGTCATGAGGTCAAGAGATCAAGACCATCCTGGCCAACATGGTGAAACCCCATCTCTACTAAAAATACAAAAATTAGCTGGGCGTGGTGGTGTGTGCCTGTAGTCCCAGCTACTTGGGAAGCTGAGGCAGGAGAATCTCTAGAACCCAGGAGGCGGAGGTTGCAGTAAGTGGAGATCATGCCGCTGCACTCCAGCCTGGCGACAGAGCGAGACTCTGTCTCAAAAAAAAAAAAAAGTTCCTTTATCTTTAGGCAGGGCTGACATCACTGGTAGAGTGATTTGGTCATCTGAATGATTTGATTTGAGGCGACTCCGCGTCTCTCCTCAAATATTCTTCTGGTTCTTAGAGTCAGCAATTCATTTTTTAATAGTAAAGTAGGTAAAGCAGTTTGTCTGTAGCCATCACTATTAATATATGAATCCCTCAGGCCCCGTGTCCTCCTAAGGTGTAATTTATGTTATCATCATACAGTTGAATCTTATGAGTCTTATTTAATTTATCAGATTGATTTCAGTTAAATATTTTTAGTTAATCACAGACAAAATTATTTTAAAATTTGAAATGAAGTACATGTAAGTATGTGTTGAATTTGAAGCTTTTAAGAATTTTATAATCTTAAATTTAAAAACTTCCATTTAAAAAATTTTAATATTTCAGAAGTCATAAAATAAGAATATTTGGTATGCCCTAAAATCAGTCTAAGTATTATGAAACTTAATTTGGCATGCTTATATAATTAATGGGATCTGAAGAATTGCTGGTTTATAATTGGAGTGATGTAACACTGAAGACTTTATTTTCAAGAATAGACACACAGTTGACTCATTATTTCTGTTTACTGATGTGTTATCCTTCTCTACTTACAGAACTCAGTAGGCCAAACATGCTGACTATCCTAGTTAAAAATAGATTAGCTATTGCCTTTTGCATTGAAAGTCAAAGGGTCTGTATATTTATATGAAAATGAAATGTGAAGATGCAGAGATGTAACTATGATGCATGGCTTATAAAATCTAAACAGTCTTCTAAAAGGATCGGTTCTTTTCCTTAATATCTTAGATTTTATTTTTGAAAGTGTGGTGTCAAAAAACTAGATTCCATAAATCAATATGACTATTTTTTTATTTGTATTTTTTTGACACTTTCCAAACATGAATATTTTTGATTAATATGCAAAACCAGCAACCAATTTACTCCCGCTGACCTGTGAAGTGCGTATCATTTAGCCTTTTTATTTAAAGTGCCTCAGTTTGGCCTCCACTCTTGTTTACAGTATTGTAGCCTAGTAAACTGCAACCCACACTTTCTACTCTAGCTGGGCTGGTTCAGCAAACATGACATGTGTGTCTGTCCTCTGTTGCTACATTCCCACAGACTGTAGTGCTACCCTGTTTATCTTTGCCCGTTCATACCCTAACCGTCTTTCAAGCTCCCATTGAGGTCCGTCCCCATGCTTGACGATTCTTTTGCTCTGCTCTGTACAACCTCTACCTCTACTCTGTTTCCAAGTTCTTCTCATCTTGTATGTATTACTCTTTTGGAATCAAATAACAATAGACGTTTCCTGAATGCTAACTTCCTCATTTAATCCTCAAACCTCATGAGAAAAAAGTACCGTTGTTATCCTAATTTTGATTAGGAAACATCTCAAATAATTTAAATGAAGGCTACCATCTTAAACTGGTAAAACCTAGATTAACGTGCATATTCTTATTTATCAAATAATATTATCTTAAATCAGGAGCTAACCTTTCATCCATTTTAATCTTTTCCTCCTCTAGATTTTAAGTTCTTTTGGAATTCTGGAGGGTTGTGATTTATATTCTCCAACCTCCCTGATGCTGCCTGACTCCTGCAGGTGGCTTCTAACACAGTGCTCTGCATTTGGTTAAATCTCAGTAACTATTTGTTCACTGAAGAAAGAAAATCATGTATCAGTGTACTTCTACATAGATTTATAATTTGTTTCTTTACCTTTTTTAGAAACTTGTATTTTTCTCTGTAGTAAGTAATTACTCATTAATATACCTCAGTGACATGAAATATTCAGTCTATGAGTGCCTTAAATATGTTACCAATTTTTTTCACCCTGGAAACATTGAAATATCCTCAACTCTGGGAAACTTTATTAATGTAAACATAAGATAGATGTTTACATTATCCTATACAAAAGTATAGGATAAACCTTAGGCAAAATCCTATTCAGTGCAAAGTATGTTTACATTGTCATGGATCAATAAATTTTTTTAAAAGGAACAAATGAATGAATTATACCTAAAACCACAGAAGTACATCT